ATCTGAAGTCGGCACTCGAACGCTTTCGAACAAAGCATGAACACATTTCGGCGAGTAGGCGGTCAGTTTGCAGATCCATTTGAATTTACATGTGAACTTTTAGTTGCCCGGTTGCCGGACAATTCACGGCTTGTGAAGACAGTGAAGCTGGTGGCTTGGTTCGGCAAGAATTTGTTGGGGTGTCAACATAAATGCTCAGCTGCTGAATGCACAACGTAGTTCGACAAGCAAATGGGGAGGAAGTGTGTGTGTATCGCTATGTTTGGTTCGCAAAAATTCAAAAAGTTTCTGGTAGATACCCGAAATTGCATTAAAAAGTATTTGAAAGCTGAAAAATCGACACACATTTTTCACATGCCAGCAACAACGATCGTATGCACAAAAATGTATGCATTATTCACGCTCTTCTGTTGTGCATTATAGCATAAAACCACATATACGCACACACACACTTAAAACTATAAAAGTGCATAAGTTAGAGATGTGCTAAGCAGGCAAGTGGCACTCCAGCTTCTAGCAACTTCATAGCCAACAAATGAAGTGTTGCTTCTTTTGCCAAGCGAATATAATATTAAAATGCGCTCGTACAAAGATCGCTGCAGGGGAAGCTGTGCATAGAAGGAATGGAGAGTGTGTTGCATATTCCATAAACCAATCACTCACTTTTGCACATATTCAGAGACACGTACATACGGATATATATACAAAACCTCTATCAAGGGCTATAGAATTTAGTCTCAAAATATACTAGCTAAAATAAATCTAGTTAAGTATTAAACTAGTACTCAACTGGTATCAAATCAGATCAGATTAGCATATTATTTACACAAACCTTTAAACAAGTTGTTGCAGAAAGGGAACATAGATCTGCCGGATTCGATATTTTTTAAAAAGCGCCAAAGACCTGAAAATAGTAAATTATAATTGATTCGAAGAACATCACATAGATGACTAGTTTAAGCTAAGTAACTGGATCGAACTCTTATTAAACTGCCGTGTTTATGTCCAAAGTTTTGGCAATGACTTCATAAAAAACCTTACCAAACAGAAGATACCAGTTCCTGCTATAGAAAAAAACAGTCATCCGACTAGTTGCGCTTGTGGTTCGTACTAGTTCCAAAATCATTTATTACTAACAAATTTCACTGCAAAGAAATTCTTCTGTTAATCTATTTGCAGACATAGCTCACGATTGCATCGTTTCATGCTTATATACTCCTAAGTAAAAGTGCAGTGCAAGTAGCCGGTAGTGTGTGTACATAAAAGCAGCATCCAAAGTATTTATGCCGCTTCAGCAGCAATTCCAAGAGCAGCGCTTTCCTCAGTGTTATGGCTATAACAAACCTGCCAGAAACAAATGCAAAACTTTGCTTTGAAAGTAGTTAACTTTGCTGTAATTCCATGCTTGTGACCAGCTGAAAACGTCAGTGGTATCACTACTTCAAAACCAAAGCGGATAACTAAGCAAGACTAAGTTCGTATGCAGTATAGCAGGTCCAATATCTTTCATTGAGGGGTGGACTGAAGTTAATAAAATTATTGTGTGACCTAATTTCCCCCTTTCTTGAAATTATTTCTTCTGTATTTTTATAAATTCGAAGTTTGTAACACCCAAAAGGAAACGTTGGAGACCCTTTAAAATGTATATATAAATGATCAGCGTGATCAGCTGAGTTTATTTAGTCTGTCCGTCTGACCGCCTATTCGTCTGTCTGTCTGTACCATATATACGCGAACTAGTCTCTCAGTTTTTGACATAGCGATCTGAAATTTTGTATTTATCATTTTCTCTCTAAGAAGCTGCTCATTTTCTGGAACCACCGATATCAGACCCCTATAGTATATAACTGCCATACAAACTGATCTTTGAAATTCAAGTTCTTATATAATATTTGCGAAGGGTATTCGAGCTTCAGTGTTAACGTGTTAGTCCAAATCTGCGATGTTGATGTGTTTTTTGTGATTAACGTAGCTGTTGCTTATTATGAGTATACAGGTTACGAGAAAATAGACTTTGAACGTAAATTTAAGAATGTTCAAGTTTTCCCCAATGCTCTACATGTATATATTATATTTGTGTAAAAGGTTCTAACATAAAATGGTATTTTAGGCCAAATCCGTGAAGTTGACGGTTTCATGTATTTGTGGTAACTTTTGTTCCTGTATTCTTATTCATTATATAATAGTTTATTGTTCTTTCGTCGGACACAAGCTAGGCTGGCGGTGTTTTGAAATTGCCTATTTCTAAATAATTTTTAAAAGAATATATTTAAGCACTAAATGCTATCAATGAGGTATAGGTCTTATTATATGTTACTCTAAATGAAGGGATTTTAAAAAATTGAAAATTTGTATTCGCTGAATGTACAGTTAAAAGTCCTAAAACTTGATAGAATACTAAAATAATAAATGCCCAATCCACCGTGGTGTCAAAGCACTGTGCGTATCGTAAATATCTGCATAATAATAAAAAAAATGTACAGCAGCTTCGCATTAAAATTACCTACTTCAATTATTTCTTGCTTTTTTTACAAGTCCGCTATTTTGTGAAAAATTGATATCTCTCTAACTACCAGCAAGTCTTATGCTGATTAAAATGTCGTTTGCTATTTCACGAGTTGCTAGTCACCGTCGCCTCTAGAAGCTCTCTTGAAATTCCTTATAATTCTAGACCGCTTTTAAAAGTAGCCGGAGACCGTCTCTTCCATTTTCCTGAGTGTACTTGTTTGCTTTGTACAGCATTTTGTATGTATTACTCATATTAAGCGCTGGGTCTTGACATTGGTATTTTTTTCCCAAATCAGTTTACTTGGTAGAATGAAGTTATACGAAGACTTGATGAATCTAATACAGCTCACCAAATATGAAAATAATTTAGTTCAATCAGGGTTGCGAATTTTTAAATTCAAAAATTTCAAAATGTAATTCCTTATCATGGTTGAAGTTAAAAATTAAATTATGTATAACTTTTTTATTGCGATATTTGGATCTTTAGGAGATTTATTTTTTTAATTTGAATGTGTATATTTGCTGACCTTAAGTAGCGAAAATAATGGCTCTTTGCGAGCTCTATTTTGAAATGGTACAATACTAAGTATGCAAACGCGAAAGAATTTTTATTCTAAAACAATATCTTTAATTTAATCCTAATTATATGCTTGGGATAAAATTGTTTCCTTTATTTTTCTATCCGGTTCACATTTGGGAACCAACTCGTGTACCAACCGTCTATATAATCCTCTAAGTTTTTGATTTTAACTTAAGTTTAACTTTAAGTAATATGTTTTTTTTTATTATTCGCCCTGAGGAACATCACTATGCAGTATATATTGTAATATATGTTTGTCATAATACACTTTATTACCTTTGCTCTATGAGGTATTACATTCTTAAAAACAAATTTTAATTAATACGCGTCCGCATATAAATAAACCTGACACGAATCACACTTTCAGTATGTTAGTCTGGAGTGCAACTACAAAACAACATTTATTTATCAGAATATATAGAGAGGATATACGGATCTAATATCAAGATAGACTCAGCATACAAAAGTAGTTCGTCTGGAAGCATTATGCACAAAGAAAAGGTTATATATGTATGTACATAGTTATAATTGCAGAATACCTATATGTACTGCCGGCTTACAAACACACAAGAAATTTCGTACTGTTGATTTAATAACTCAGCAAAAGTAACTCTCTTTGTAACAAATTTCGAACAGCCACATAATATTTCACAAGCAGCTGATTAATTTCAGAGTTACAAATAGCCAGCGTGAATGCACCACGGGACGTATGAGTTATCTACTCAACAAATTCTATTACTTTATCTTTATGCAACTTGACATATTCTTTGTAACCAAGTGTATTGTGCGTGTGTAAGTAAGCAGGGTAAAAAGTTAAAATCCTCCTGTAACACTTTGATACTTCAACACTTTTCTTCGTTGTTAAGTTTTTTTCTGCTTGGCTCACAAAGTAGTTTATGAACGGGTGTTGTGTCCATTTTTGGCTCTTCAATTTTTTTCTGCTCGTTCGGATTTTCAATCACGTGGTATTTCAACGTCTTAAAACTTGCATAAGTGGTTTATTCAATTCGCGTAGAAGTACGTACAGCTGGATCACTCGTAGACATGCTTATGTACGCATGGAGTATGGTACATGCAATGAATTTGTGACCACAAACGTATATACAAGTATATGGTATATACAATAAGTGTATATAAACTTACAATTTTTGTTCGCATGTGTTCGCAAAACTTTTGTGATACTATCATCTTGAAAGATTATGCACTTTTATATACATACTTCTAGGGACTTTCCATTTCTTATGCTCTTTTGACTTGTGTTTTTCTCACGGTTATTTAACCTTTTCTTTTCTCAACCTAAAATGCTAATGATTTAAAGAAATACTTTTGCGTATATACCCTTTTACCGAGAATAAAGCACTTACATTCTGTTTAACCACTTTTATATACCACATTGTATTATAAGTTTGTTAAGTAGCTAGCGAATATTAATGAATATAGACATTGAATCAGTTGAAGGCATACCTAAAATATATGTATAAAACTCATGATTAAGAGTTATGCATTTAGGTATGTACTCGCATTTATATAAGCAGTTCACCGGCTTTGATTCTTGCATATTCCCAGAGTTTTGTCAACGCATTTAAGCCACATGAAATGCGAGAGTATAAAACGCTCGATTACGCAAATAACTTTATCGTGAACAAACTAATATACTCTGTAGAACAAAATAAGAGAGTATAAAAAATTATAGTAAGTGGAAAATACTTTTTTGTAATATCGTGGGATTACTTGAGATATATATACAAAGGGTATTCTTTTGTAACGTGGAACTTTGACTTAAAAAATTTGCTCATTTTTCGATAGCCATATTTTATAAAATTTTGTGTTCGGACCGCATTTCGGCCGTAAGGTCGCCGCAATTTAACATAATAATGCCATACCATTGATCCAATTTTACTTATATTTCCAGGATAGCATCACAAATTTCGGGACAATGGACATCGACTTAGATCGTAATCCTACAAAAAATTATTTAGTAGAGTCAAATATCTGGACCTTGATAGTCTGTACTTCTTCACTCTGGCGAAAGGACAAAGAAACGTTACTAGCCACGACCGTCCATAAACTACGCTACCTCGCTGGCCACCTGGATATAGCACAACGTAGTTGAAGAAGTTTCGGATATCTATTGATTGCAGTTAAGAAACAAAACGCACTCTTCTTTAAGCAGTTTCTTCAGAAATCATCTGTGCAGTCACTATTTGGCGCGGAACCGTCTCCTAGGAACGTTCCTACATTAACACTTCGAAGAACTACAGCAATATACCGAAGTAATTTCAGACGCGACAAACTTCAGGCGAGCACTGAATGGTATTCACCATGAACTTAAGTTCATGAAACCAGAGAGACCCTCACGCAACCACATTCTGGATATTGTAGTAGACTAAAATCGTGCTAATCCAGAATAAACCTTGACTTACTAAACATATGTGTTGTCATTGCCTTTTAGCATTTAAATGGATGCATTAAAATATATAAGTACGCGTTTCTCAAATAATTTAGGAAATGCTTTAAGAATTTTAATGCCAGATAACATGAAATGTCTTTGCTATGTGATAAATATTGGATTGGTTATTACTAAATTTATTATGCTGGCGACTGATAAGAACTATACTATACTGACCCAATATAATATATACATAAGTGTATAATTTGTCTTTCATTTCTTTTATATAGCTTCTATCGTTTACTAGACACCTGCTTAAAAATACAATATAGTAATGCAATGGGCAGGTGCTTGCTTTCTGAAAATAATTTACTTACAAATAAGGAATTATATTGTAAGTATGTGAAATATGATGCAAAGAAGTAGCAACACTGACAATTATCATCTCTGACTGTTTCAAAACCTGTAAAGAATATGGAAGTGGTGAAAATGATTGAAATGGTTGCAGAACAGCCTGATAAGTACTTAGCCTCAACTCACAGTTACTCTTCTATCGAGAGTGAAACATAATCTCTTGTAATACATTCTCTAGACGGCTAATAGCAAGTTTTCAGCTGAGGCGGACTCGCAGTTTTGTTAGAACTTTGGGTAATAGCGGCGTACATAAGCAGAGTATTTTAAAATATTGGAAAATCAGTATCAGTGAGTGATTCTCGCTCTACTTTTTGGAAGAGAAATCGTCCACTGAGATGTGAGAGTCTTTAGATACTGAATATTTCCTTCGATGACAACCATCAAATATTGGTTTAAAAAGTTTCAACGTGGCTTTCGGTGAGCCAAAACCAGGTGGAAAATGGCTTACGGAGGAATCGAATGTTCACAATTCCGTATTAGTGGACCACTGATGGAAGGTGCGCGGGAGACTGCGTGGTTTATATCCTGCATGAAATATGGGGGAATGTTGTTTATGCGGAGTCCAAAATATTTTCTACGTCGTGTCGTGACTGTCACAGAAACAGGAACTGGAAACGGAAACTGGTGCACAACGAAAACCAAGGAAGAGTTAAAAAAGTGGACTTCTCGAAATGTGGTCTGTGCACTTTCTTTTCGTTTCAAAACTTGTAAAGGGCACTCGCCGGGCAATAATTGAATGAGGAGGTTACCGCCACCGCCAACATGGAGGTATTATGTAAGCTTAGCACCTGCCAGATCACCCTCTTCTTTTGCGCTTAGTTATATAATAATATTTTGTGCCCCGAAATAACAGTGAAACAGAAAATAGTGCAATAACTCGATTGCAGTTCGCACGGCTGATTTTCACGCTGTAAATACTTACTTACATCCGCTCATTTGGCATACAGCTGCAGCTCAGCTACTTATGTACTTTAAGCAATTCCATTCTGAAATCTAGCTTAATTAATATTTGTTGTGTAAACCAATTAAAATTCATCCACCATTGAACATCATTGCTAACGCCTCATCTACATACTCGTATATATGTTATAGAATAAGTCAGTATGCATTTACCAGTATTTTGCTGTTAAATTTAATCTTACAACTCGTCTTTGTAATTATTGAGTTGAATATAGCCTGCAAGCAAATGCCGTCGTCCTTTAGAAATTCATAGTAGTCAGTTGTTGCTTTTGCTTTTGCATTTGCCTGGCTTTTAAGCATCCTTAATTCCTAGTACCTTAGCAATTTCAATGCAACAAGTACACACGTTTGCTAATGGCACAACATCACATTGTATGTGTATGGCGTGTATCTATGGTGTGGAGAAATGGAAAAGTCTGTGGATTGTTTGCTAGTCGTCGACATTCGTCGTCAGTCAGCACTTGACAAATTAATGGCGTAGCAAAGTGAATGAGCTAACTGAATTGTTCAATATTGATCATTTCATTATCTGAAACTTGTTCAGTATAAAGCTGTGTGCATAAGTAGTGCGAGAAGTGTAGAAAGACAGATACATAGTTACATAAATTAAAACGTAAAAACAAGGAAGTATGCAAGAGTACTTAGAAATGTAGAAGAAGCCAAAGAATAAGATGACTATGGGGGTATTCAAGAGGGATGAGTTGATACTGGGAAACTGAAAGACTATTAGGACTCTAAAGAGCATATCAAAATTTTATCGAAATGGAAATGCTTCGTAAACCATATATTTGGGATGATACCTTATATTAAACTGATGCCAGGTGGTGGGGGCTCATATTAATCGTTAACCTGGCGAATAGATGAGAAGATAAACAGTTCCACTAATAACATTGTTTAATGCTGACTTTCAATTGAACCATTGAAGACCTTTTGTCTTAAAGAGTATCTACTAAGAAAATGATTGTAAAAAGCCATTGAAATTTATATTATTTGAGAAAGCATGGTTCTCCGCTATACCAGTATTTATAAGGTACTAAGACTACACCTAACCTTTAAGCATGATATTACTACAACCATTTCTTTCCGAAAACAGTCTGCCATTTGATAGATTGAAAGTTGAGGCGAATTTTACATTTAGCCGAAACAACCTATCGGAGAACCCTTTATTTGGTGCGCATTTCTGAAGTTCACATCGTCTAATAAGTACTGTGTTGGTTTGTATGTTTATTGTTGGAAACGAAGTTAGGAAGCGGATGCTGGCTGATTATCTTCAACGGAAGCAGCGAAAAGACGTTGCATAAGAACAACACTTCGGTTTGGTAGAATGAATTGTATTATGTTGCATTGATTGAATGACTATTTAAATGAATTGTGCATTTACTAATTGAAGAGTGCTACTATAGTTTGCAGCAATATGCTGGCGCTGCTACACCCTGCTTTATCGGTAGAAGTTGGCTTCTCTTAATTGAATGATAACTAATTGCATTTGATAGTTAAATTGTAAGTATATGTAATTATAAATTAGACGACTACCAAGTGAATCCTAGCTGGACGTAATTGCATTTTCATTTATTTTCTAAGAGTGGACAATATTATTTGCTTACATTAATAAGAGCAATATCCAAATAGAGACACGAGTTTTTTTTCGCATTGTTTGTCCAGATCAGTTTCTTGCAAACTGATTGAAATATTTTAATGACACTTTGAACATATATTTCTTGACACTCCAAGAAAATTGGCAACATATTACAGAAGCCATATATCTTTGTTCAGATGCGGCACCTTTTACTAAAGTCTTGTTAAGGTTGTTGAAAAGGAATGACTAAGTAATGAAGGGGTAACATTTGCTCGTGTTCTGGCAACACACTTTTTGTCTTTATTCTCCTTTCGTTGCTGTTTATTATAACCAGATCAGGGTATATAAAGTTTGCCACAAGGTTTGCAACACCCAGAGGAAAACGTCAGGGCTCACTATAATGTACATATATAAATGATCAGCTTGTCGAGCTGAGCTGATTTAGCCATGTCCGCCTGCTTGTTTGTATACATATATATGCGAACTATTCCATCAGTTTTTAAGATATCGATCTAGAATGTTGCTAAGGAGCTGCTCATTTGTCGAAACCGTCGACAACTGTATACTATATAAACTGACCGATCAAGTTCAAGTTCTAGTATGCAACAGTTTTTTATTTGGAAAGATATTTTACGCTATAATCTCCGAATAATTTATTCAGACTATCTGACAATCAATGATACTGACCGATCAGACCGACTAAAGGTTGTTTATATCAAACAACGTGGTTAAAGCGACTAGCAAACCGGCTACAAGAAGTCAACCTAAGGAGTGTAGGAGGATTGCCTTTTATGTTTCGGAATTAGAGAACAAAAACAATTTCTAATCATCGAAAAACGCTTGGTTGAATTTTAAAATATTCTCCATTAAGATATTATATACAATGTATACGTTTAAACCAATTTTCAAAGCTCTTTTGCCACTCTGATTGAGGTATCTCCATGCGTTCTGAATGCATCAACCACCTCTTCAAGTGTCGATAAACGTTGACATTGACAGAAGTCATTCGGTGCTAAGTCAAAATTATACTGTGGATGACTAATCAAATCGATGTTTTGAGTGCTCAAAAATGTAGTTGTTTCAGTCGATGTGTGGCAGCTCGCGCTGTCGTGGTGAAGAGTGATCCGTCTTCTGCGGTTTCTTGCAAGATAACAGTCAAACAAATGGTTATGTACCACTTAGAATTTACTGTTCTGCTGTCAGGTTTTCCAAAAAAACAGGCAACCATTTGCTTGGAAGTGCTTTGTGCCCAAACAACTTTTGTTGGATTCGGCTCACCTTGAAACACCCATACAGTCGACTGCTGTTTATTTTCGGGCTCATACGCGTAAATTCACGATTAATCCCCTGTCATGATGTCATAGCCGTATTTAGAAGCACCGCTCTCGTACTTTTTGAATACGAGTCTTTTTTGGAGCAATTGACAAATTGGGTAGGATCCAACGTGAACAAATTTTTTTTATATTAAAATGTTTATACAACTCTCTATCTCACGATAGGTCTCATGACGATCTTGCAATATCACAGCATCAATAGTTTACGAAACAAAAACTGATTTTTGTGCGAATTTCACGAAATTCGTTTTGGAGTGATCAACGACTCCGATTGAATTCACCATACCATCGATAAACAGTAATTCTGGATGGAGCGTCATCGCCAAAAATTTTTCAAAAGTTCATCGATGCACTGTTGCTGAGTTAATCGTCATGAAATCTGTAAAAAATAGTCTCGCTAAAATATTCCCGATTTAATTTCATTTTTGGGTGAATATTTTAAGTTACTGTAAACAACACAAAACATCAAAAGCATCAGGCTTAATAAAACTTTGAGTTGCTAGATTGCAGTACTGGGGTTGCCAGATCCCCAAAATTTAAAAAGCAACCTACGTATTATAGCTTCGGTGGAGCCGAAGTGAACGTTTTTTCTTGTTTTGAAATTCATACAGTGGTTGATTTTCAAGTCCATACCTACAATACATATATTCGGAAATTTAAATTTTATTCTCCACATTTTGTAAGTAATCTGCATATATATTCATACATATATATTCATACAAGCATATTTAACTAAGCATGAGAGAACTAAATACAGA